TTAAGAAACGTTAACCAAATATCCAGAGTTCATCGCTCAGAAAACTGCTAATATAGGGTTCCACGTTCCAAAGGAGCTTGGGTTATCTGCACGTATTTAACATATCTAGATGTTTTATTTAGTGAATACCGAATGATCGAAGCATTGCGTAAATATCGCCAAGTAACGTTAAGAAGCATTAATTCAAGAGTTTAGCAGTTCAGAGTTCATGGTCAGCAAACTGAAACTGGCTCATAGCCTACATTTTCAGTCCTGTCCTGACCTTAGGCCGGCGTCTTTCACTCGCGAGTTGGCGGAGGGCGGGAGACTATTTCAGGCCATCTTTGCATGTGACAATAGACTACGTGAAGCTCATCTTTTTACAGTCTCCGGTGCATTCTCACCAGCTGATTTCGCGCGGCTTTCCTTATTTCTTCTTCCTTCTTTCGCACTTGTCGGACTAAGAAATAAGGTGGCTACTCATAGTAAAATGACAAACAATATACTTTAGAAGTACATTACGTCAAAAAATACGCAATGTGTCAAGATTAATTCAAAAGGCATACGCCATAATTTTCAATCAGACATTCAAAACCACTTGAGTAGCGAGTTTCTATTGATTTCTATTTCTCTGATGACTCTGTTGCCACTTTGTTGTCCGATGTTAAGACCTGTTAAAGATAACAGCGATCAAGAGCAGAAAATTTGGTGTATTTTGTTCGCCTGTCTCTATCTAGAAGGGTCTTTGTATCTCCGTTTTACGGGTCGCAAGGGCAGTTAAACTCTGTTACGTTTGTTTGGTGCGGTTCAGTCAGTCTGTCATATTTTCCTTCTTTATATTTTTCATTATTTGCCTTCCTATACGGAATATTTATGCCGTCAGCGTGGTTACTATCCTCGTTCTGTCGAGAGAACAGATGTAATATTGCACGATTTCAACCAAAAGTTCAATCCTGGAGTCATACGAAAAGCTTGCAGTTCTCACTGACCGTGATAAAAAAAATAAAGCGAAGTATCATGATTATGCATCAGTGGTAACAAGATTGATACTGATCAGTCACCTCAAATTCAAATAGGGCGTAAAACACTTTCAGGTTTACCCCGATCTGCGTGGTTTAAAGAAGATCGTTGCCAGCCATTCCTCATTAACATACGACTTAGTGTATGGAAGGCATCATATTAGAACCGAAGTGACTCCAAACACTTTAACCTCTTTGGCTACCCCTCTTGAGGCCTATTTGAACCTTTTGAGGAGTTCTTTACGGAGAGGTTGTGCACAATCTTGTCGGAGCTTCCTGAAAATATTTCAGCTCATCCGAACTGACGAAGACTTCTGGCATTGTGGTCCTTTCGGTTATTGTGGATAAATGATAACAAATCACTAGCAGCTACGAAACGTTGAGTGTCATTTACTGCGGCGAAGCCTGCAGGTCGTACTTTATAAGCAAATCACTACGGCCAGCCTGGTGCTACTACGGCTGCCGTGACTGAAAAGGTCTGGGGAGAGTACGTCTCGGTGGTCTGCCAAATTTTAAGTTTAGCGAGTAAAGCGAACTACAAAGATGAAAGAAACATCGGCTAAGAAGTTTAAAATCTCTTTTATTCAGTTTCTCACAGCCAAATGGCTTCGCTCAAAGGACGATGGCCGTTATTC